TGGCAAAAATCATTCTGAACCTAACACAAAAAATATATTTCACTGTGTTTATTAAATTATTCTAAACTTATCTATAATATATTTAATTGGATTAGGCTAAATTTAATTGTACTTGTTATAATAAGGTTAGGTAAATTTTCTAAGGTTCTTTTGGTACAAAATTATTAAATATATATCTTTAAACGTATACGAGAAAACTTTAGAACGGACTTAATTTTAAATGAGTTCTTGCTAACTGACCAATTTTACCTATTCGGCACGACATATATATATACACACACACACTGCGATGATCAAGCCACGTGACATCACGCCTGTGCTTGTAGTTCATTGTTAAAAATTATTTTCATCCAGAACAGCAAATCACGGGGAGCGTACTATAATAGGTTACTGGCTCATCGCGTGTTCTGCAATTTAACATTTTTTTGAATTAAACATTAATAAGATTATACAGCGTATGTGTGGGGGGGGGGTATGGAAGGTATTCAGGCTCAGTTCAGGGAACCAGAGCACAGATCCAATTCCCTAGATCAAGAGCCCCTCACCAGCGTCAAGGAATCTCCCTTGAGGGGCGTTGTTTAGCAATTCTTAGGAAGTGTGGAGGTTTTTATCATGCTGGTGCCATCCATTGGCAGAATTTAAACAAATATAAATATACAGCAAGTCATTATTATTATAATGAAAAATAAAGTGCTAAACCAGCTAGTCATAATCATAAAAATAACTATAAGTGCTAAACCCACAAGGGTAATAACGGCACTGAAGCAAGTCATAAGAGAGGGATACTAAGGTGATCAACCCTCGTGACATCACTCACTGGAATGAAAGGCAATAAGGTTCGGTCCAAGGATAGGCAGATATCGCATGCCTTGCATTAAGAGCCCCTCACTGGTATCCAGGTACTTCCCATGAGGATTTTGGAATGAGAGGTAATCGAGTTTGAACCAAGTTAAAAGAAGGTAGCTCCATTTCCTTGGATCTATTATTAAATTTTCTAGTGTTTATTAATTTACTACTAGTATGGTGGTCCTGTTTTGCCTGGTACTTCTTGCATCACAGCGTCCTCGCGTTCTCAACTAGAAGCGTAATGTGCACATTCATTATTATTAAATTCATAGAGAATTATTACTTTCATGGGAAGATTATCATGGAGGAATGCTAAACCTGTAGGGATTATACAGCGAATGTTGGGGGGAGGGGGAGATGGAAGGTATTCAGGCTCAATTCAGACAACAGGAGCACATATCCAATTCCCTAGATCAAGACTCTCTCACCTGAATCAAGAAACCTCCCTTGAGGGGGTTTCATGGGAGACACACTAAACCCATAGGGATTATAAAACACACAGGGAAATAGGAGGCAATCAGAGTGTACGTAAAAGTCACATGGAAATGGCGCATGAGTGCATGTGTGTACTCACCTAGTTGTGGTTGCAGGGGTTGAGTCACAGCTCATGGCCCCGCCTCTTCACTGGCAGTTACTCATGTGTACTCACCTCACCTAGTTGAGGTTGCGGGGGTCGAGTCCGAGCTCCTGGCTCCGCCTCTTCACTGATCGCTACTAGGTCACTCTCCCTGAGCCGTGAGCTTTATCATACCTCTGCTTAAAGCTATGTATGGATCCTGCCTCCACTACATCGCTTCCCAAACTATTCCACTTACTGACTACTCTGTGGCTTAAGAAATACTTCCTAACATCCCTGTGATTCATCTGTGTCTTCAGCTTCCAACTGTGTCCCCTTGTTACTGTGTCCAGTCTCTGGAACATCCTGTCTTTGACCACCTTGTCAATTCCTCTCAGTATTTTGTATGTTGTTATCATGTCCCCCCTATCTCTCCTGTCCTCCAGTGTCGTCAGGTTGATTTCCCTTAACCTCTCCTCGTAGGACATACCTCTTAGCTCTGGGACTAGTCTTGTTGCAAACTTTTGCACTTTCTCTAGTTTCTTTATGTGCTTGGCTAGGTGTGGGTTCCAAACTGGTGCCGCATACTCCAATATGGGCCTAACGTACACGGTGTACAGGGTCCTGAATGATTCCTTATTAAGATGTCGGAATGCTGTTCTGAGGTTTGCTAGGCGCCCATATGCTGCAGCAGTTATTTGGTTGATGTGCACTTCAGGAGATGTGCCTGGTGTTATACTCACCCCAAGATCTTTTTCCTTGAGTGAGGTTTGTAGTCTCTGGCCCCCTAGACTGTACTCCGTCTGCGGTCTTCTTTGCCCTTCCCCAATCTTCATGACTTTGCACTTGGTGGGATTGAACTCCAGGAGCCAATTGCTGGACCAGGTCTGCAGCCTGTCCAGATCCCTTTGTAGTTCTGTGTGTGTGTGTGTGTGTGTGTGTGTGTGTGTGTGTGTGTGTGTGTGTGTGTGTGTGTGTGTGTGTGTGTGTGTGTATGTGTGTGTGTATGTGTGTGTGTGTGTGTGTGTGTGTGTGTGTGTATGTGTGTGTGTGTGTGTGTGTGTGTGTGTGTGTGTGTGTGTGTGTGTGTGTGTGTGTGTGTGTGTGAGAGAGAGAGAGAGAGAGAGAGAGAGAGAGGAGAGAGAGAGAGAGAGAGAGAGAGAGAGAGAGAGAGAGAGAGAGAGAGACAGACAGAGAGAGACAGAGAGAGACAGAGAGAGACAGAGAGAGACAGAGAGAGACAGAGACAGAGAGACAGAGACAGAGAGACAGAGACAGAGAGACAGAGACAGAGAGACAGAGACAGAGAGACAGAGACAGAGAGACAGAGAGACAGACAGAGACAGAGAGAGAGAGAGAGAGAGAGAGAGAGAGAGAGAGAGAGAGAGAGAGAGACAGAGACAGAGAGGGGATGGGGCATTTGACTTGGAGGGTGTAAAATTTGTAGTGGAGAGAAGGCAGGGTAGAGGCACCCTAGGAAAGGATGTGAGGATGGGGGTAAAGGTGGTGGTGTGTGCCAAGGGCTTGGTCATCCAGCAGGCATGTGTGAGCAAATTACATTGGAGTGGAGGCAAATCGTTTTTGTAACCTGATGAGCTGTTGGAATGTGAGCAAGGTAACATTTTGTGAAGGGATTCAGGGAAACTGGTTAGTCGGACTTGAGTCCTGGAGATGGGAAGTACAGTGCCTGCGCTCTAAAGGAGGGATAAGCATATTTGCAGTTTTGAAAGGGTATCTGAAAACGGTTGTACATACATGCCTCAGGCATTCCACTACAAAAAAAGTGGCTGCCCACAGCCCACTACAAGGGCATTTATAAAACTATTGAATATTAGTTGCTGCCCTGATTGGTTATCATAAACAATGGTTTCCTCCAGTTGTTTGATGATCAATTGAGCCTGGGAGGAAAAGCTCAACCTGCCACAGAAGGCATTCTGAATCACCATCAGATGAAATTCAAAATTCTGCATCATTTTTGGTTAGAAGTAAGTTTAGAGAGCTGCTCAAAAGCTTTTTTATAGTGATCATTCTTCTCAAGGGTCAACATTACTTCTGGAAGGACAAAAGAGAGAGAAAAGAAATGAATAATTGATAAAAACATGTCTGGCATACCAACTGCTGGATTCTAGTTAGAGTAAGACTGTAAGCTGCTAAGTGGTTAAGAAAAAAGATATGTATAGCAAGGAGACCTTTTATTCTTATGATGTTTCAGTTACAAGAGGCTTGTACTGGATAAAACATCTTGGAAGTTAAATGTCTTGATAAAAGAAGACCTTATGCTATACATGTCTTTTAACCTACTGGATTAAAAATACTTGATAATAAAGATACAGCAAAATATTTAATTATATCAAATAGAAGTAGATTAAAATAACACCCTATAATATCACTACAAAATGATAAATTCATATAACAAGACAAAGCATTTAACACTCTTCCCCCCCCCCCCCCAAAAAAAAAAAAAATCATACAAGGCAACATCACAATCTGTGATTAAACAGAATAAGATAACTATTCTCCATTTCTGACTCAACAATCACAACAGTAACCATGCTGCATTATAATTATAATTATATTATAGTAATATAAAAGAGAGGTTTGGGATATTGGCAGTTTGGAGGGACGTCTAAGCTGTCATATCTGAGTGCCTCTGCAAAGACAGTGATTATGCATGAGTGATGGTGAAAGTGTTGAATGATGATGAGTTTTTTTCTTTCATTTTGGGTCACCCTGCCTCGGTGGGAAATAGCCGATGTGTTCAAAAAAAAAAAAAGTGTGCTAAACTTATACTGAATTTCCAAGACCAAGGTGATATGATCATATCTTACAAAATACTTAGAACTGATATCATAAATAGGAACAGACTGTTTGAGATGTTAGAACAGGAAACCAAGGTACATGGATGGTATCTAAAGTTGCAGATTTGCCACAGGGACATTGGGACATGCTCCTTTTCATGTCAGTGATGACTATGTAAACAAACAGGTGGTAAACACCATACATAGTCTCAAGAGTAGATATGATGTGGTTCTGGAGGTCAGAAACTAGTAGAGCTGGTTGACAGGAGTAGGAGGTAGGGTCAGATGTGGATCGCCCCCTGAAAACAGTTAGACAAGTACACACAATCAGGTGAATCTCTAACCACCAGGTAATCATGTATGTTGTGTGTACCTCATATTCACAAAGACAAAATGTCCCTGTAATTTCTAAATTTGTTGGGGCAAGCTGCAGTATAACAACACTTCCAAGACCTAAAGGTGGAGGACCTTGTAAAAGTCTGCAAATAGGAAAGATATGGCTAGACAAGAAATTTAAAAAAATTATGAAAATTTAAAGATTTGGATGCGAAATACCAAAATTACATAGGCAAATAAAATTTTATTTGGATAGTCTTAGAGATTATTTTAATTATGAAATACAAAGTGGTGTAGCAAAGAAAGTCTAGGCCGAGATGATATTATTTATGGTGTACAGTTGGATAGTGGAGAGGAGCATGAAGAGAGATAAAGCAAGAGCGGCATGCCAGGTGGATATTACGCTCCAAATGCTGCTACCAAATTCATAACTAAATCCACACAGGATGTATATATTAAATGAGAAAAATATTAACATTTATTATATTTTTGTAGACAAATGTGACTACAATACTTTTATTTACAATCAGAAAAGTTCGAAAGATATACACATTTACATGAATTAGTTTAAATTTACTTTGATTAAAAACATTCCTTATTACTGACTCTCACAAAATTAGAAAATTACATCAGAAAACAGAATTATGAGCCTATACTGCAAATGGTTAAACTGCGAAGAATAAAACCCACCCTCGTATTCCTTTACTTCAAACTATTACCGTACCTGTAATCTAACTCCAGGAATAATATCAGCTAGATCTAGTGCATATTTTACAGTGCTATTTATGCTACTGCTATTTTTTTAAGTCTTCCGTTGAACAATTAATGATGAGTGAGCCTTCAAATCCATACATTAAAATTTTAAAAATAAAAACATGAATAAGATGTTATCTACATACATAGTATACATATTAGGAAAAATGTATCTATTCTCTTTTCATTATGTTGGTGCATTAATTATATGACAATGATGTATGAAAATTCAAATAATGTCAAAACATACAAACTTTAAATTTATGGCATATGCAATGTTCTTACACTAAATGCCTTAAGTGCAAAGAGTGATGATTCAACCAAAATGGAGGATGGGTCAGTAAATGTATCTTGGGATGCTACTTTACAATTAAAAGCTTTTGGCACAGAATATACAAAACTAAAATACATAAAAAGCTGAGTAATCCTGCTAATATTTACTATATAACTACTACAGCTGACATGTTAAAAAAAAAAAACTACTAAAACTCTTTTCAATCACTCACTGACAGTTACAAATTCAAGTAAAAATAATTATACTGGTCTATACAGAATAATGTTCCTCTTTTGTATTAGTCTCCAAAGAACAATGTAGAAAAATTCATGCTCCTATTCTTTTTATCTCACCCTTATAATGTTTATATATTTTGCATTCACCACTTTCATTATCATGCATATTTTCCTCTCTCTCACACATTCACTGTATTACCTGTCCTTGTCCCCCTGATTCATGTGTGCTTTTCCTTTCAAAAGTGTGCTCATGCTTTTTTTTTTTTTTACCTTTCACTCATATAATCACATTTCCTTTACTCAAAATCACTATGAACATACATTACTTTCTCTAAATATTCAAGATACTAACTATCATAATGTGTACTTGTAAGAGAGCATTGATTAAAGGATGTAGATCTGATACAAAGGAGTTGTCACAGTTGCTCTTTGCCAATGACATCTTTCTTTTAGAAGATTCTAAAGAGAAGTTACAAAAGCTGGTGGATGAATTTTGGAGGGTATGTAAAGGAAGACAGGTATATCTTGCTACTCCTGCTTACACTTAGGTGTAATATCGGCTGTTTCCCACCAAGGCAGGGTGACTCAAAAAGAAAGAAAAACCCAAAAAGAACGAAAAAACTTTTATCATCATTCAACACTTTCACTATCACTCATACATAATCACTGTCTTTGCAGAAGTGGCCAGGTACAACAGTTCAGATGTCCCTCCAAACTGCCAATATCCCAAACCCCTCCTTGAAAGTGCAGGCATTGTACTTCCCATTTCCAGGACTCAAGTCCAGCTAACCAGTTTCCCTGAATCCCTTCACAAAATATTACCGTGCTCACACTCCAACACCTCATCAGGTCCCAAAAACCACTTGTCTCCATTCACTCCTATCTAACACGCTCACACACGCTGGAAGTCAAAGCCCCTCACCTACAAAGCCCCCTTTACCCCCCGCCTGCCAACCTATTTGGGGCCAACCCCTACCCCGCCTTACTTCCCCGACAGATTTATACGCTCTCCAGGTCATTCTACTTTGTTCCATTCTCTCTAAATGACCAAACTATCTCAACAGTCCCTCTTCAGCCCTCTGATTATTACTTTTAGTAACTCCACAAATCCTCCTAATTTCCACAATACGAATTCTCTGCATAATATTTACACCACACATTGCCCTTAGACAGGACATCTCCACTGCCTCCTCGCTGCAGCATTTACAACCTGTGCTTCACACCCACATAAGAGTGTTGGTACCATTATACTCTCGTATATTTCCTTCTTTGCCTCCAAGGATAATATTTTTTGTCTCCACAGATACCTCAATGCACCACTCACTCTTTTTCCTTCATCAATTCTATGGTTAACCTCATCCTTCATAAACCCATCTGCTGACAAGCAAACTCCCAAATATCTGAAAGCATTCACTTGTTCTATACTCCCTCCCTCCAATGTGATATCCAATTTTTCTTTATCTAAATTGTTTGATACCCTCAGAAGACAGAGTACAGTTACTAAACATATAATTCAGAGGGCTGAGGAGGGGGTGTTAAGGTGGTCTGGAGACTGAGATGATGGATCGGAATAGGATGGCCATGTGGTTGTATATATTTGGGGTGAAAAGAAGGGGCAAGGATCATCTCAGGTGATGTTGGAGGGAAGGGGTAAAGGAGGTTTTGAGAGCTCAGGGCTTCAGCACCCAGCAAGCACGTGCAAGTGTTAGAGCGGAGTGAGTGGAGGCAAGTGGATTTTCATTGCCTGACATGCTTTTGGATTGTGAACAAGGTAATATTTATGAAGGACCTAAGGGAAACTGGTTAAAAGGAATTGATCCCTGGAGGTGGGAAGTATGGTGCTTGCACTCTGGCAGGGTGAGGATATTGCAGTTCATTTGGTCCATTGAAGTGATGGCAAGACAGCTATTGAATGACTGATGGTTAATGTTTATCTTTTTTGGAGGGTTCACCCTTATTAAGTGGAAGATGGTTGGTGATTTAAAAAAAAAATCGTATGCAGAAGATTCACTAATGTAACGGCAGTGTCAATAACTGCTTTAAACAGCAGCAACTCAAATCTACAGCTAAGCATGTCCCTCTTGCAAGCGATTTAACAAGGACAATCTCTGGCAAGAGAATTCATAGTGTGGAAATTAGGAGGTGTGGAGTTACAAAAAGTATTATTCAGAGGGCTGAAGAGGGGTTACTGAGGTGGTTTGGTCATTTAAAGAGGGTGGCACAAAATAGAGTGGAGGGGAGGAGGGGTAAGGGTCATCCTAGGAAAGGATGGAGAGAGGGAGTAAAAGAGGTTTAGTATGCCAGAGACCTGGACATGCAGCAGGCATGTGTGAGTGTGTTAGATAGGAGTGAATGGAGACTAATTGTTTTTGGGACCTGACGAGCTGTTGGAGTGTGAGCAGGGTAATGTTTTGTGAAGGGATTCAGGGAAACTGGCTAGCTGGACTTGAGTCCTGGAGGTGAGAAGTACCATGCCTGCACTTTAATGGGGTTTGAGATATTGGTTGTTTGGAGTGACATCTAAACTGTCATATCTGGACACCTCTGCAAAGACAGTGATTATGTATGAATGATGGTGAAAGTGTCTCTTTTTTGGGCCACCCTGCCATGGTGGGAGACGGCCGACATGTTGAAAAAAAAAAAAAATTCTCTGGCAATGCAAATAGTTTCACGATACTAAAATTGTACTTGGTAAAGTTTTGCTAAAGTGAAAGCCCTCAGACACTTTCCTGCTACCTAACAAACAAATTCTCAACACCATACCACTATGAAAGTGAATTACTTGAGAGTATACTAAAGTTTGCATAGCTGCAGGTAATTTTATATTCTTGTGATGAAAAATATAGCTGTGTAGATATATGCTCCATTTAGCTACATTACAAAATATTTAACATTGGGGAGGAAAAAACTTTATGTAATGTATGTGCCACATTAACAAAAAAGCTACAAGGCATTCATGGAGGGACAATGTTGCAATTTGACTCCCTTGGGTGACAAAATACATACATGCATTAGTGCTAACAGTGCATAACCAAAAATACAATGGTGTATTATAAAAGATAGTTACTGAATGCATTTAAAGTATTTATACATGCAAGTTTGGAGTACAATGCTAGAAAAAATATTATATGATTATATGAAAAAAAATAAAGCTGTTTACAAAATAATGCTTAAAAAAATTCAAGCTTGAATGTAGCAATAATGATCATCTCTAAGGTTCCCTGAGAGGATCCAAGCCTCATATGTTAGAGGCACAACAAGATATATGACTTAAGAAATCGTAATGACACGATTGCAAACAAACCATACCCCCGGCCGGGATTGAACCCGCGGTCATAGAGTCTCAAAACTCCAGCCCGTCGCGTTAGCCACTAGACCAGCTAGCCACAATAAGAAATATACCTAGTTGGATGAATCTTATTGTGGCTAGCTGGTCTAGTGGCTAACGCGACGGGCTGGAGTTTTGAGACTCTATGACCGCGGGTTCAATCCCGGCCGGGGGTATGGTTTAACAAGACATATAATAAAATCCAAAAGTAATTTTTTAATTACTTTACATTAAAACTTACCCTGTACATAGTTTGTATTTATTAAAAAATCTCAAGGTAAAAACACTATTTTTACAATATAAAATGTATTGCATTTTAATAAATATGCTTACAAATTTACTTCTATTATTATAAAAAATAAGCAATAAACCAAACAAGGTACTACTTTTAAATCAATTAGCAAAAGATAAAAAATAATTCAACATTCTGGCAGTGTATTTACAAATTAATTTAATAGCTACTCATGGAAATTGACAAGTACAATATCACATATGACAGTGGTTATTTGCTCATTACAAATTTTTCAGGAACATGCCTTATTATTTTTTCCAATGCATTTAATTTCCTCTCATCATTTAAGCTCCAGTTGTAGCACATGTGCTGAACTCTAATTATCTAGCAAAACTGGCAACTACAAACTATGAATACAATTTAATAGGAATTACCTGTATAACTGGCACCACTTAATTTTCAATAGAGATCCATGGGGATTACTGGTATTTATGGTACTACATGCCTTACCATCTCACTTCAAAACTCAATAATTAATTATATTGCAATGTAAATCTAAGCTTTGTTAAAATGTTTCATGCTAATGGCAGTCTTCTAAAGATCTGGAGCTATATAGTTGAGGAACTTTATAGCTACTTCATATCCTAAGAAACAGGCAGCATTGGCAGGGAAGGCTCGAATCATCACTGGTGCAGCTCCTTTGAAGAGTGCTCGAGGACCCTCTGTGCGCATAATGTCAACAAACACACTGCGGATTCCATTTGGATAGGTGCCTTCAGGAGCTGGATGTAAAACAGACAGGAATGTGAAAACATTAATCACATATGCAGTACTGATCTTATTCATATGGAAAATACTGTACAGAGAAAGAAACCCAAATTTTATACAGCCTCTCCTCACTTAACGACGGAGCTCCATTCCTAATACCGTGTTGGTAAACAAATTCCTCATTAAACAAGAAGCATACTATAATGGTAGTGGGTTTATGTCAACCATCTTTGATATCGCTTTAATGTCACCCTTCAACCATTTATAATGTTTTTAGTATATTTTTAAATGTTTATAGTGTACTGTATACTGTAATAACAGAATAGAGGAAATCAGCTCTAATATACATTATAAAGGCATACATTCTGGTCAGAGAGCCTATCTTAAGTCCTAGTCATTGATAAATGAGTATGATGCTAAATGAGGAAAGGCTGTTCATATCTTGAAGACCACATAAATGAAGTAAAGAAAAACTCATAACCTATACTGTAATACTCTAGCAAACTTTCAAACAGCCCTCAGATATATGGATGGTGAGATGCTAAAAACTAGTACATAATATATTTTAGATAAAAAATGGAAATGCATTGGTGATATGTCCCTACTCTCCTAAGAAAAAAATAGAAACAGTCAAAAGACATTCAATAAAATAGATCTGTGGCCTAAGAAATACAAACTGAAAAGAGAGTGCAACCAGATAATACTGATAATGCCCTGGTTGAAAAGAGAGGAAAAGAGGAATTAAACAAGTTTCAGGATTTGAAAAATGCTTTAACTTGGGAGATCACTTGGCTCTTAGCAATTAAAAACAAATACAGCACAAAAAAAATATAAAGAAGTCAAAATAACCATATTTAATTAATATTATGAAACAATTAGCAAAATTAGATAAAAAAAAAAAAGTCTTTTGCCATACTTAACAGGGAGGCCACGAGAAGTCAATTGTAAATTTAGAAAAAACTACAGTGATGGAGTGAATGATGGTGAAAGTTTTTCTTTTTCGGGCCACCCTGCCTTGGTGGGAATCGGCCGGTGTGATAATAAAAAAAAAAAAAAAAATAAAAGGACACAGTCTGGCAGACTGGAGAAATCGTATAAAATACCAACATGATGGAAAGAGACACAAATGCAGTGTAATGAGATCCTTTATGATGGAATATAAGTATACTTTTCCTTCTATAACTACAAATAGGTAAACATAGGTACAAAAGTTTGTGGGAATAGGAGTATGGATGCAGGAGGGAAGGAGTAACTGGTGGAATGACAATGTAAAGTGGGAAGTAAGGGAGAAAAAAGTTGACATATAAAAGGTTTTTAAAGACATAAAAAGGGCAAACAGTCAGAATTGGAAGACGTCAAGAGAGTGAACAGTAGGAGGAATAGATTCGCCTTCCTTCTTTCTCGCTGAACAGAGTAATGCAGTACAAATACTTACCAGTCTGCAGTCTGCTCTTGAGAACATCAGGCCCAATAGCCACAAGCCAGTTAAACATGCCAGCAAATCCACCAGCAACAATGGTTCGCATGGGGCTCAGCTCTCCTTCTTTACCCTCAGGCGCCAGAGCTCTCTTGAGCCACTCGTATGTCATGAAATACATTCCAGATGCTGGTACATCTGTAATGGTTTTAGTTAAAAAGATCTGTATAATACAGCACATAAATGACATTTTATGGTTATGGAATCAGTTAACTAGGAGTGTTAAAAATAATAAATGTCAATGAAGGGCATACAATATTTTGAGAAAATAATCTTCATTTTGTAGGTTCTCCTACCTTATAAAAATAGTAATTAAAATACAATAATTAATAAATCTTGAAAAAAATGATCCAACCAATTTTTTAAATTTATTAACAACGCTCTTAATTCCATTTTCTGTACTCTGCTTCACATTTTGCAGCACATACAATAACAGGCTACTTGTTTATTCCATCCTATGTACAGCAGATGAAGAGGGACTAAGCTAATCAGCTCTATATATATACAGTGGAACCTTGGTACTCGAACTTAATTCGTTCCAGAAGGCTGTTCGAGTGCTGATCTGTTTGAGTATCAAACAAATTTTTACCTGAAGGAATACGTAAATTTGATTAATCCGTTTCAGACCCCCAAAAATACACTTACAGCGACTTTGTGGTGTATTTTTGTTTGGTATTTATGATTGTATTCTAGTTTTCTTGGTCTCATTTGATAGAATGAAAGATATATTACAGAAACAGAGATGATCTTGAATGGTTTACAGACTAAAAGTACCTTGAAATTGAGCTCAAAATAGCAGAAATGTTTGATTTTTGCTGATGTTCAAGAGTAAACAAATCACGTCAACTGGTGGGTCTAATATGCTTTCACAAATGCGCTGATATTATTTATACCATTTTTTCAATAATGCAATAGTCTGCATAACAGTAAATCTTCTATTTTTTGTGTGAATAAAAATTCAAAATGGAAAGCAAATGTAATATAAGAGGGGCATGAAGTGGGAGGAGCTATAGGAGAGAGAGAGAGAGGAAGAGGCCAGCAGAAGGAGCATTCAGTATACGATGAGTTGTCTTGATAGCCGGATACTAGTAGTGGCGTGAATACAATGTTGCGTTATTATGCTAATACCAGTAATATATAAAGGTTATCTATCTATCATATTTATTCCAACTTGATATCAGAAACACAATAGATAATCTAGAAGAACAATAAAGATGCCGAAGTTAATAAGAGGCATATTATATGGAGAGGCGAGGGCAGTATTTACATCAGGGCAAACACACACTAACCAATTTTCTTTTTGGTTGACTGTTATTACTAATCTTCTTAGGCCCCATGGTGACTTATTTATACAATATAAAAAACACCCAAAAATACGAAGAAACATGAAATAGTTTACAGTGAAGTTCAGCAGAGTTTTGGACTGAGTGACAACTGCGGGGAGACTGACTCACATGTTCTGGCAGGTCGTGTTTGTTTGGTCGAGTGCCGAGCAAACGGTCGACTACCGAGTGATGTTTTTTTACCGAACAAAGCGTTCAAGTACCAAATCGTTCGAATATGGAGCTGTTTGAGTACCGAGGTTCCACTATACATGTATAGAGATTTTTATCCTTCATTGTTACACCAACTTTGCATATTTATTCTAACACACCAATCTTCAAATCATAATTCAAGACTTACTAAATATGCTGTTTAACACCTGCTATCCTAACAATGCATTTTCTTCCTTTAAAACAAATTTTCATTTTATTATTTTTTTAATACTGTACATCTTATATCCACAATTACTTATCAATTTTTATACAAACACTAATACCTTTTCAATAGCCTTTTATCTTGTACTTTTTATTATATATATTCTTTTTTTTGAGTTATAATAAATGACTTTCAGTGGTTGGGGCCCACAGAGGCCTTATTTTGGAATATGTCATACTTATCCGTATCTATTACTAGCCTCTGACAGGCCCTGGTATGGTCTAGTACAGTACAGTACTTCAAGAGGAAGTTTTTGGTTATGGGAACAAGGATGACCCCCACCTTGGAATCATCCCACTAGCACCCTGAATGGAGGGGGCAGCTGTTTGAAAGAGGTAAAATCTGGGTATAAACCAGAGATGGGAGCCCAGGAAATGTGAGAGGAAAAACTTTGTACACAGAAACAGTACATAAGAGGATCTCCTTACTCAACCACAGGCAAAATCAGTATCAGAGTACACAGCACAAGGCATCCAGATCAGATTTCATTTCTTTCAGAAATCTGCAACCATAATACTGTAATTCTGTCAGTTCTTTCAGAATGGGCTAGTCCACCTACCTCCCTCCTTTTTTTTATCAATTTGAAATAATTTAACCCTTTTATACTACATACAGCAGGCACATCCTGATTCATTAACCCTTTGACTGTCGCAAGCCCCTTTCTGAAACTGTCATTCTATGTCGAAAAAATTTTTGGAAAAAAAAAAAAAAAAAATTTTTCTCATGAAATGATAGGAGAATCTTTTCCCGATGGTAATGACACCAAAAGTACTAAATTTGGTCGAAAACTCACGGAATTATGCTCCCACAAAGTTAGCAGTCTCGGCGACATACATGCATCGGTGATTTCGCCTACTTTGAACCTTAATTTTGGCCAATTCCGTTGTTCCAGTTGACCAAACTCATAGCTATTTCTTTAGAACTCCATTTTTTTCTATCAACTGAGTACAAGAAACTGCCCATTTGCCGATTTGAACTACTCAATAAAGTAGTCAGAAATTGGCAATTTGGCCAATTTCATGCAAATTAAAGGATGCCAATTTCAAAATAAGGTCCAGAATAAACAATGTAGACATTCTTGGCACTAAAATAGCATATCCTCTGTTTATTAGTCACGTCTCTAGGCCCCTCTTATATTACTATTGCTTTCTCTTTTGATTTTTTATTCATACAAAAAATAGAAGATTTAATGTTATGCAGACTACTGCATTATTGTAAAAATGGAATAAATAATATCAGTGCATTAGTGAAAGAAAATTAGACTCCCCAGTTGATGTGTATTGGACGTGTGGTGTGATTTACTTACTCTTGAACATCGGTAAAAATCGAACATTTCCGCTAATTTGAGCTCAATTTCAAGGTCGTTTTCATCGTGAAACTACTCAAAATCATCTCTATTTCTGTAATATGCCTTCCATTCTGAAAACGAGAATACAACCATAAACACTATACGAAAATACACCTCAAAGTCGGCATTTTAATCCAAAAAAAAAGTCAAGAGTTTTTTTTTCTCATGCACTGCGTACTGCAGGATTTTTTTTTATATGGTGCACACTGACCACACAGACACAGACCCATTCTCTCACATGTGGGCCTACCAGCTTTCTCCTGCTTGATTTAAAGCCGCTAGAATTATTGAGTATTTATACGTCCGAAACACTGGCTCGTATGACATATATATACGACCAAAACAGTCAAAGGGTTAAGTAAAACCATGTTTCAATAATTGAAGTTACATCTACATGTTATGCACATGCAAGAAATCTTAGTTCATTTATCATGTTCCTAGTACTGCAACTCTTAGTATATAGTAACAGATTTTGAAAAAGCATTTGTTCTTGATGAACACACAAGCCAGCATAAATGGCTCAAGAAATATTTCAACAAATGTTTAAAAATTATTTTTTTTTCTGGAGAGAAGGAATATTTCAGTTAAATACAATTGTCTGAGATGACTAATATGATTGCTTGCTTACTATATTATAATATAATGATGCACTAAACCCACATGATCATACAGTGCATGGGAACAGGAAGTAGCTAGGCCTGATCCAAAGAAAGGGAGGACAGAAAGTATGGGTATGCATTTTAGAATTCTGTCAATACTTTTCTTGGCCAAGTTCTAATAATGTGCAATGTGCACATCTCCAACCACAGTATGAAGGCATATTTGATGTGCACAGTATTTCATTAAGCCTCAATTACGGAAGACTAAAAATAATGCCTACAAATGATTCAAAAGTTAAAATACACAATACCTCGTAAAAGAGTGGCGCAGGTGCCTTTATATATACTTCGAATTCCACCCTCTTTGTACAGCACCTTCATTACATCAATGGGACCTTTATACACCTTTGGACCCGAACTGGATGCTTGAACCTGAAAAATACAAAAAAAAAAAAAATAGGTTGCAAGGAAGGAAATTTTGTAACAGGTACACATGCATTGTGAAAATCTGCTACTGTCTTCACCGTTGATGAGTAACTCAATAAATTTTGGTCAAGTTTATTTACTATCAACCTGGTTGAATGTGGCAGACACAAATTTACATTCCTTGATAGTAGATTTTCCTTCAAATCATGAACTATCCTTACTTCAACAATGTCAACCTGCTTGACTGTGCTCAAAGTTAAACCCGAGATTTGAATATGTGTTTTCAGGCCAGGAAACAATGTTAGAATGCTTTCAACTGCATGCATCAGTAGCAACCATCTAGTATTACTGTATCCTAGTACTGTTTAAAAACTCAGTTCTAATGAAAATAATAGTGATGCAAACCAACAGGTACTACCAGCATACAAAGTCAAACATATGTTGCAGCACAGCCACAGCTTCACAACTGAAAAGACACAACTATGATTCAGATGTATCTCTTCTTCGCCACAATCATGCTTATGCCACACAGGTATAAGCACAATATTGCATCATACTAGTCAACAGACTGCCTAATACCAGTCAGTTTGTACCCTGGCATTCATTGATCTCATCCCTGCTATGTATGCTCAACTTTTCAGACAAGCATAACCCCAAGAGGAACAATATGTTATACAAGATTAGATATGTTTTTTATGTATGTACCTAAAAAATAAGTTTACAAAGTTCTTTTATTCCTTCTGGAACCATGCAATTGCAGTCTCTGATCTCACTCAAAGGCAATATATTCCAAGCAAAAAAATATGCTTAGGTACCAAACATTTGAAGATGCCAGGAAATTACTGTGAATCTCCAGTGCTATGGTCATAAAAATTATGTAAAATATTGTAAGAGACAGTGTGCAACCCAACCCAATGCTGCCATTATTATAGGTCACTGGCTTTCAACTCTGTCTTCACATCTCAATAAGTATTTAACTGATTTTGTTCATTTTTTTTATTACCACCACAAGAATGAGCTTTTTTTTTTAATTTGTGAGACAAAAGGGGCTTTCATGTCTTTTTTCAGTGGGGAAGGAGGAGGGGACATAAAGGGTTAAGGATAAAAATTCAATTTTATTTTTCTATCTACCAGATGCATTAGCATGTTGCATAGTGAATATTCATATTACATGTGGCTGGCTACCAAGCATCACATACCCCTTGCCAGGAAAATAATTGAGGTTTGATTACAAGAACTTTCAAAATACTTTGCTGTAAAAGCTACACATCAGTAACAATACTCTTCTAGGTAACTGTGCTTTGTCTTGTTAAAAATAAACAGCTGTGTAGGTATCTTTTTATAAACAAGCAAGATATCCAAACTGGAAAATCTATAATATTTATATAGAATCATTAAAGAATTTGATCTACTGGAATTGCCTTAAAACACTCAAGCTGTACCCTCTGGAAGAGAAAACAAATGTATCTCATTATCTGTACATGGAGTGAATATCAAAATGGTATACAATACCGACAGGTTAGTAGGCAAGACACATAGGCAACAGTTAGGCAACTTTATTCCTAAACGTTTTGCCTACACAGTAGGCTTCTTCAGTCGAGTACAGACAATAGGCAGAAACGGTAGAGATGTGAAGACGATGTAATCAATCCATCACCCTTGAAGTCTGATTATCAAATGGTGTACAATACCGACAAGTTGGTAGATAAGACACATAGGCAACATTTAGGGAACTTTATCCCGAAACGTTTCGCCTACACAGTAGGCTTCTTCATTCAAGTACAGAAAAGTTGATAGAAGCAGAAGATACTTGAAGACGATGTAATCAGTCCATCACCCTTGAAGTTTTGAGGTGGTCAGTCCCTCAGTCTGGAGAAGAGTATTGTTCCATAGTCTGAAACAATATTGTTTCAGACTATGGAACAATACTCTTCTCCAGACTGAGGGACTGGCCACCTCAAAACTTCAAGGGTGATGGACTGATTACATCGTCTTCAAGTATCTTCTGCTTCTTGACTGAAGAAGCCTACTGTGTAGGCGAAATGTTTCGGAATAAAGTTGCCAAAATGTTGCCTATGTGTCTTATCTACCAACCCTTGAAGTCGTAGATTTGAGGTTGCCAGTCCCTCAGCCTGGAGAAGAGTTCTGTTCCATAGTCTGGAACTATCTGAAGATCAAGTGACAGTGGTGCATAGTAGTAGTAGTAGTAGTAGAAAATGTAGCCACTGAGAGGTCACGTTCCTCTCAGATCAAACAATTCTCACTTGAAAAAGTTGTCCAAGGTGTTTTCTCTTCTGTACCAAGATGCCATTGTATTGCAGTGTCTGACAGAGTGAATATCAAAATGGTAAACAATACCGACAGGTTGGTAGGTAAGACACAGGCAACAGTTAAGCAACTTTATTCCAAAACATTTTGCCTACACAGTAGTCAATTCCTTAATTAAGAAGCTAAAAATAATACTGTAGCAAGAGTTTAGGTAAGTGTGAGATTACACTTAATTAGAAGTAAGGGTGCCTAGAGCCCAATTGCAAAAGTGTGGTAAACATCCAGCAATCCAAAATTATTCAACCTTCTGCCAATAGGCCTATGAAATATTGCTGCAATGAAGGAAGATATCTACCAGAGGGACCTAAATGGGTTCCTAAAAGCAGTGTCTGATTAGCAAGGTTGTGATGGTTATACAGCCTTGCTAGTAACAATAGCCTAACTGAGAAGGCAGTCACTTGGAAATTATTTTTTACTCTATTCATAAAAAAGTGCTAAGCTCAAGTGGACCATGCAGCACTAAAACCTGGAAGGCCTCTTTCCAGGCTTGAGTGCAATTGCAGAAAACATTGTAAAACCAGCCACACATAATTGGCCCTCACCTGCAACAGGCACTTGACTCTTTCTCCAGGTGTCATGATAGCTGTGGTGAACACTCCTGACAGCATGCCAGCATTGAAGAGTTGAACTGCTGTTAGCTTTTGGTCAGGTGTTTTCTGTTGTAACTTTTTGCCAATTCCAAAACCCAAGAAGCACACTGCAAACATTGGTGTAACCCCCACCAATGGAGCAGCCATACCTAGCAATGTTCAAAGAACTTCATGAAATGGTGAAATATAACTAGTGATATGCAACAATTAAGACAATATGATAAAGTAGCATAACTTTTTTGGCAAAAAATAAAGCAACACATCATAGAGATCAGAGAAGCTCATAATACTGTACTGTATATAGCAGATCAACTTACTTTCATCCACATAAATAAAGGCATAATGATTTCTTTATTAATTTAAATTTTAAATGCCCTAGTAATATTCAAAATTTTCTCAAAACACTTTCTACATAATGTTACAATAATTCAGATACATTTTTCTAATTAATTTTTCTATAGCAGGATAACATTTTTATTTCAATGTTCTCTCACTGCCCAAGCACAAAATCTCTACATATATATTATGTTCCTTCAGTTAACCCTTAAACTGTCCAAACGTAGGTCTATGTTTGCTCACGTAGCGCTCTGAACGTAGATCTACGTTTTTTTTTAATTCTTTCTTATGGAGAAAATCAAGGGCGGAGCGCTACGCATGCAAACATAGATCTACGTTTGGACAGTCAGAGGGTTAAACAATCTATTATGAAGCATTTCTCATGCTCTTCTACTGAAAATATGAGAAATAGTGAGAAAACTTGAGGTTGACTACTATTATTCCACAACGATCTTGCTCTACTGTTGCAGGTTGGTGAGCCCACCATACACTATTCAAGAGCCCATTATGGATATGATCCTGCAAATGACAAAAGTTGTAATTATAGTATGGTTTTGTGGGGATTTTTTTTTTTTTTTGGGCGGGGGGGGGGGGAAGAATGATGCAATCTTTGAGGCAAACAATATTCTCTGTCTCATTCCACCATTTTCAAAAACATCATTCACATGACAACAGTAGCCTTTGTTTAAAATATTTCATAGACAGAGCAGGATTTATATTTACATCTTATTTTGTCACTTATTTGCCATGTTTGTCTACAAATCACACACACACTAACTTTTGTGTGAAGGTGTCCCTAAGAACTTCATACTGTAGCCTTTGCTTTCTACAGTATTAATTGCAGACACTGTGTGCTGTAAGTATAAATGAGAGCCTCTGTAGAGCTGAGGTGTTAACAGTGGCTACAATTACTGTATATTCTTGCCAGTATCTCTTTTTATGCTAATACTTTCAGTATCTGTAATTGAAGCTCAATCATGCACTTGTAACTGGACTTTCAATCTCACATTCTGGTAGCTATATAGCTTCTTCTATTTTCAATGGTTTTCTACTGATCCATCACAGAAGATAAATAGAATCATAGTAACTACTGATAAGAGTTTACAGTTACAAAACTGTGGTACTGATGTGGTAAACTCATTTAATGAGGTCCTGTCTCTCATTATAATCATATTATTAACTAAATCATCACAAATTTTATGAATAATGGCATACAGTATTAAAGTTTTAAGAGCAAGAGCACTTCAAGGTTAATCTAATCATTCTAATGCATACCTCTTCACAAACAACTCAGTACTGTATATCTATAGCTTCACATCTTATAGGCATGTATGTATTATTATACAGAAGCACAGTAATGAATTCCTGTCCCAGCAGGCATACAATTTAGTTTTTGTGAAGAGGTCTGTACTAATGAATATTAGTTTGGCTATCACTTACTGCAAATATTTGGATGAAGTAATGTAACCTCAATAAAATGAAAATACTCTAACCCTCTGACTGCCGGTGTCGTATACATGTACATATATACATCTTACGAGCCAGTGTTTTTGACGAATTAATACACCAAGATTCTAGTGGCTTCAAATCAAGTGAGAGAAAGCTGGTAGGCCCACATGTGAGAGAATGGGGTCTGTGTGGTCAGTGTGTGCAGTATAAAAAAATCCTGCAGAATGCAGTGCATGAGAAAAAAAAAAACTCCGACCGTGTTTTGGGATTAAAATGCTGACTTTGAGGTATATTTTCGTATGGCATTTATGGTTGTATTCTCGTTTTCTTGGTCTCATTTGATAGAATGGAGGATATATTACAGAAATAGAGATGATTTTGATTGGTTTCACGATGAAAAGGACCTTGAAATTGAGCTCAAAGTAGTGGAATTGTTAGATTTTTGCTGATGTTCAAGAGTAAACAAATGACGTCACCGTCCAATACGTGTCCAACTGGCCAGTCTAATACGCAATCATGAATGGGCTGACATTATTTATACAATTATTACAATAATGCAGTAGCCTGCATAACAGTAAATCTTCTATTTTTTGTGTGAATAAAAATTCAAAATAGAAAGCAAGAGTAATATAAGAGGGGCCTGGAGACATGACTGATGAACAGAGAAAATGTTATTTTAGTGCCAAGAATATCTGCTTTGTTTATTCTGGACCCTATTTTGAAATTGGCATCTTTTTTATTTTTGTGTGAAATTTGCCAAACTGCCAATTTCTGACCACTTTACTGGGTAGTTGAAATCGGTAAATGGGTGGTTTCTTGTACTGAATTGATAGAACAAATGGAGCTCTTGAGTTGGTTGACTGTAACAATGGAATTGGCTGAAAATAGGGCTCAAAGTGGGCGAAATCATTGATGCATATATATCGCCAAGATCGCTAACTTCATAAATTTTCCATCAAATTTCATACATTTGGTGTCATTATCATAGGGAAAAGATTCTCTATCATTTCATAAGAAATTTTTTTTTTTTTTTTCAAATATTTTGTGACACAGAGACACTTCAGGATTTGGGGTCTCAACAGTCAAAGGGTTAATAAACAAATGTGAGTATCAGTTGCTCATAATAATCTTTAGGAAGAAATACATTTTTATCTGATATTATTGTAAGTCTGTACACTATACAATATAAAAATTTTTCTCTCACTGGATAAGGCATAAGGCATAACATACAGCCACGGGCTCTGTCTTTTTCATGGATTATCACAGTTTTCTTACATGATAGAAGCAAGAAAGGTATAAAATACCGACAATATGAAAGTTAAGACACATGTGCAACATCTGGATATCTTTATTGTAGTAGACGTTTCGCCATCCAGTGGCTTTATCAATACAGATTCTAGGACATAATAGGAAGACAGTAGAACTATATACAAAAGATGAGGTAATCAGTCCCTCGGCCTTGGAGTTAGTGTTCACAGCATCGTGGTGGAGGAGAGTCTGGAGCAAAGGCAAGAAGACTGGCGCTTTTTATAGGCGTCAGTGAATGGGACGGGCAGCAGACGAGGGCAGTCACTGGTAGGCGGGATTCCCCAGTGGAAGTAGGTCCTTCCCAAAGAGATGGGTTAGTTGCAGCAGCCGTGAAGAAGGTCTTGTAGATGTCCTCTGAACCAAGATTCCATGATGTTGCAGTGTCTGACAAGTTGTGCAAGAAAGGTATAAAATACCGACAATATGAAAGTTAAGACACATGTGCAACATCTGGATATCTTTATTGTAGTAGACGTTTCGCCATCCAGTGGCTTTATCAATACAGATTCTAGGACATAATAGGAAGACAGTAGAACTATATACAAAAGATGAGGTAATCAGTCCCTCGGCCTTGGAGTTAGTGTTCACAGCATCGTGGTGGAGGAGAGTCTGGAGCAAAGGCAAGAAGACTGGCGCTTTTTATAGGCGTCAGTGAATGGGACGGGCAGCAGACGAGGGCAGTCACTGGTAGGCGGGATTCCCCAGTGGAAGTAGGTCCTTCCCAAAGAGATGGGTTAGTTGCAGCAGCCGTGAAGAAGGTCTTGTAGATGTCCTCTGAACCAAGATTCCATGATGTTGCAGTGTCTGACAAGTTGTGCAAGAAAGGTATAAAATACCGACAATATGAAAGTTAAGACACATGTGCAACATCTGGATATCTTTATTGTAGTAGACGTTTCGCCATCCAGTGGCTTTATCAATACAGATTCTAGGACATAATAGGAAGACAGTAGAACTATATACAAAAGATGAGGTAATCAGTCCCTCGGCCTTGGAGTTAGTGTTCACAGCATCGTGGTGGAGGAGAGTCTGGAGCAAAGGCAAGAAACTGGCGCTTTTTATAGGCGTCAGTGAATGGGACGGGCAGCAGACGAGGGCAGTCACTGGTAGGCGGGATTCCCCAGTGGAAGTAGGTCCTTCCCAAAGAGATGGGTTAGTTGCAGCAGCCGTGAAGAAGGTCTTGTAGATGTCCTCTGAACCAAGATTCCATGATGTTGCAGTGTCTGACAAGTTGTGCAAGAAAGGTATAAAATACCGACAATATGAAAGTTAAGACACATGTGCAACATCTGGATATCTTTATTGTAGTAGACGTTTCGCCATCCAGTGGCTTTATCAATACAGATTCTAGGACATAATAGGAAGACAGTAGAACTATATACAAAAGATGAGGTAATCAGTCCCTCGGCCTTGGAGTTAGTGTTCACAGCATCGTGGTGGAGGAGAGTCTGGAGCAAAGGCAAGAAGACTGGCGCTTTTTATAGGCGTCAGTGAATGGGACGGGCAGCAGACGAGGGCAGTCACTGGTAGGCGGGATTCCCCAGTGGAAGTAGGTCCTTCCCAAAGAGATGGGTTAGTTGCAGCAGCCGTGAAGAAGGTCTTGTAGATGTCCTCTGAACCAAGATTCCTTCTTTGGGAAGGACCTACTTCCACTGGGGAATCCCGCCTACCAGTGACTGCCCTCGTCTGCTGCCCGTCCCATTCACTGACGCCTATAAAAAGCGCCAGTCTTCTTGCCTTTGCTCCAGACTCTCCTCCACCACGATGCTGTGAACACTAACTCCAAGGCCGAGGGACTGATTACCTCATCTTTTGTATATAGTTCTACTGTCTTCCTATTATGTCCTAGAATCTGTATTGATAAAGCCACTGGATGGCGAAACGTCTACTACAATAAAGATATCCAGATGTTGCACATGTGTCTTAACTTTCATATTGTCGGTATTTTATACCTTTCTTGCACAACTTGTCAGACACTGCAACATCATGGAATCTTGGTTCAGAGGACATCTACAAGACCTTCTTCACGGCTGCTGCAACTAACCCATCTCTTTGG